GTGTGTTCAAGCCTGGGTCGATTAGCCAAAGAATCAGTTGGGCCGGTATAGTAGCATCCAAGTTTGCGGTGCCTCATACGCACCAGGTATGATTCCTCCGTGGGGAAAAGAGTTCTTCAAGAGATGGGTGGGTCGATCAGGGCCAGTAGTGACATGCGATTGTTCTGTTGGTCTGCTAAGCTGGGACTACAAAACCTAAACAAGCACCGTCCTACAAGGCCATTGGCTGCCGCGTGTGGTGAGCGAAGGGACAGAAAGAAAATTGATATCAGGTCTGTGTAGAACACAATAGGGCGCCGGGGCAGAACTCGAGATAGATTCGTATAGAGGGCCAATATGCTTGCTTGCCATGTAAATGGTACGTCCGAGGGAGCTCGAACCAGGGGACGACGTACCTTTTGAGAGACATGGGACGAGCAGAGACGAAGGAGAGCTAAGGTACGGCCAACTCTCGGCAACCTCCTGCAACCCCAAGGTAAGGCAGAGGCAGCAAGGGTAAAGAAAAAGCCCTAACTGGCAACGCAGATTGCTGGGAAATGCCCCTGACGAGCAAGGAAGGCCGGTTCACTTGCAGAGATATTGGCTTCCGTCACGAATTCCGGTCGCTCCAGTTGTGTACAATCCTTGCTCGTTCAATAGGGAGGGGGTGTGCAGAACGAGACCAGGCTATCCCGGCCCATATTGGAGTACACAATGAGGCTAGCCTTGATGGACTTAGTGAAGTGGGCAGTTCCAGATGGCCAAGCTTGAGCCGGGCCCGCTGGAGCCTGGGGTGGGCGCAGAAGATATTCAGGCGTAAGAGACTCCTGTCTGGTTACCAGTCCCGGCACAGTGGCGTTCTGGTGTTGTTGTTGATGATGTGACACAGACAGACAAATGTGTAACTGGAATTCATCTGGGTCCTTTCTTGGGCGACCAGAACAGCCTCAGAAGACCAGTCATCAAGAATCGCGCCGGAAAACGGGGTAGTAACTTACGTAGAACAATTCATGGTGGTCATGATGTGTCGGCCTCTTGAGGCGCAGAATTCGAGGCTGAAGAGGCGAGGTCGCATACAGGCGGCCAACCCATTACTGCAAATCTGGATCGACATATCTTGGAGGAGTTAAGCAGACATCGATGAACCGCCAACACCAACTGCCTTGCCATGGAATCCTTGGAGCAAAGCAGCCGAATATGGGTTGATTGAGGGGCGTCTCGTTTCCTTCCTCCATCTGCTGGGCTTGCGGTAGGTATTGCAAATGGTGGGTTAGGTCGCCGGAATTTGTTAGTGCAGCCAACGAGATACAGGCAGCGTCGTCAGGTAGTACTACGGTTAGGTTTGCATCCATAGAGGTCGGTACACACCGAGACAAATCCGATTTGTCCAGAATCCGAGTCCATTTAGGTTCTCACCTCAGCAAAGGGAACCGAGCGGCTCTGAAGATTAACATCTGACTTTAGGCAAGGTGATTTCGTGGAATAAGGGAGAGAACCACTGGGGTTGACCTGCGGGCTACTCCTTTCGCCCTTGTCATGGGTGCAAGGTACGTAATCGGATATGGGTGTCCAGGGAGGGGGGGGGGTACAACGATGCGATTCGCTGACTTCACGCAGCGATGAAGACAGTGATGTGCTGAGACATGATTTCCATTGGGTTGAATTGATTGTCGCTATTACCGAAATGGGTAATCCAGCAGAGACTGCATCGCCGAAAGAGGACTCTAAGCGGCCGAGATTCGCCAAGATTGAAGTCTCGATATCTCCATCGCCAGGACCAGTTTCCCCTTTTGAACCTAGGCCATCTGAGTAGTGTCGTTCTGCACAATGACCTTGTCGCATGAACCGTGGCTCGCGTGACTTGGGGCCGGGCATCGTTCTGAGCGAACAGGCCCTTGATGTCTTGGAGAGGGCCAGGGGGGTTGTCGAAAAGTTGCAAAATGCTTGTTTTCTGGAACTCGTTGCCCGGTTCGGTCGAGATGCCGTACGCAGTGATGATCTGATGTCCCTCCAGGGTCAGAGTTGGTTATTAGCCTAGGTACACTAGCCCTCGCCTGCCCGTCCTAAGGTGCCCTGGGGGAAGGAGGGCCTGGTTACCTGTAATAGTAGGTAACGACAGTGGTGGGTGGCACATTGCGCCCGTAGCACCCGACGCTGCTATTACCAACACTCAATTGGAGGTCTGGACGGGAGGTAACGAGGGGAACGGGGGTGACGAAGTGGAAGTGTAGAGGGAGGTAGGTAGAGGTAGTATTTTGAAATATCCAGATCGCGCTAAAGTCGCCGCGGCCTGGGAACGGGCGAGCCGTCTGCCCTGCGTGCCCTATTATATGTAAGGTACCTTATCCGGCGTGCTGGTGATGCTGGTTTCGTCTTGACTGTATTCACACGGGGCGTCGAAATGGCCAATGCCCCGTCTACACTAACTATCGCCAATCAGGGACTTTAACCTTCTGGCTTGAACTGGATCGCCGCCAGGGGTCTCCAAATTTCTCTCAATATTCCTTCCAATCTCGTACCGGTGACAGCAGCCTTCCTCGCTGCAACCTTCTCTTCGTACCACTGCACCTGAGGAATGTCCACGCCCTAGCAGATTGCTCTACGGTACGGGCTGTCCACAACGCAATCGTCCCACTTTTCCTTGGTTTTTTTTTTTTTTTTTTCTTCTCTGTTTTTGGTTACCTTAGGTACCTATTGATGTCTTCGAGATGCTTATCAGCCCGAACGGGAAGGGCGATTCCGTGTCTCGGGGAGCTCGTGCTTCCCGGTAAAAGTGTGTGGTGTAAAATGTCCCCGGTTTGCGGTTGGGATCTGTTAGCGTTCACTGCCCTGGTGGAAAGAGCGACGGAAGTTGAGACTTGGGGGAGTGCAGCTTCTGTACCATCAGAGCGAGTGCGGGGGGTCGGATGTTCATCGGGGGGTTCGCCTACAGGGAAACTCCAATTTTCTGCGACTCTTCATCTCTTGCACAAATCAATCACCTGCAGCCCAACGGCGGTCACCTTCTGGATCCATTCCATTGCCAACTCCAGTTGCCCTCGCGACCGACTTGCACCCCGACTCAAACTGCTGGCGTCCTCTCACCACCCGTATCAGAGAAACAGTGACGGTAGCGTCATGCGGCCCTGAAGACGACTCGTTTTTGGCTTGGTTCCTTCGGGCTAGACCGGGACTCCGCTTACTGGCCCTCTGGCCGCCTTTTGCGGCCACCACAGCCATGTTGGAAGCTACATACCGTGCTTCAACCACCAACACTCCGCCTCCGGCCGATATAAAATCGGGCCTGACATACCGGCCCACTAGACGTCGACGAGCAGCATGTGGATGGGGCATTGGGAACATAGTACCGTCGGGTTGGTTAGTTGGAGGCTCGTCATGGAGGGTTTCCGGAGGCCCAGGCGGAGGAATATCACACTCCCCTGCTCTCAACTCGCCAAAGGCGTCGAGCGAGGACTTAAGAGCTCCGTCGCCTATTGTTGCAGCCTCTTCTGCATTCGACCAAAGATGCCATCTGAGATGGACCATGGAAACACATGGTCTCATTGGCGGCAGTACGACCGAAGACACTCCCTCCTCCGGACAAGATGGCGGAGTCGTTCGGTGCGTGTGACTGCGGAGTCTGCCTGCTCTTCGCCCAGGTTGCTCTTCTTTTTTTTTTTTTTTTTTTTTTTTTTTTTTTTTTTTTTTTTTTCGAAGAGCGTCTCGGGATACACTGTACCTCAGCTGTAAGGCAATGGTGATGGGATGCGTTTTCTCTAAAACCCCTAAACTCGCACAAAATTGCAATTAACTGACCTTTTCAGGGCGCACACCAGTTCGACATGATGAGAAATGATCACATTCGAGCATCAATGAGGGGACGTTATAGATTGGTTTCCGACGTCATAGTGATCTTTCGTAACTCACGCATGATCTGGGACACACTCAACAATCTTGGCTCAAGGTGAGGGCGGCATATCTCATGACGGTGGCACGGCGCTCAGTGTTCGATGCATCGCTAAAACGCTCACATATGTTGCATACCGCTCTGCGGCCATTGAGGGTAAAAGGTATCCTAGTCCTAGGATAAGACGGGCAAACTTCTGGCCATCCCACGAAAGTCACCATATTTCATGAGCATCCAGGACAGGAGACAGCGTTGCGAGCCCGCGGAGTCTATGTCATTCAACGTAGATGAGGGATCCAAAGGGACACTGTTGGTTGATTCATCGGCTGTTTGCGGCTCTTGGCGTTCAAACAAGCGAGGGCCGGCATGTAACTCACTATGTTCCGGCATAGGGGAAAGTGAAGAGAACTAACAACACTGCGGCTCTTGCCCTGGTCAATATTTGGGAAAGGGTGGTAAATTGGCGAGGTTGAGTGGGTATTTACCGTTCACTACGCTTTATACCCGCGTGTTCGCGATTATGTCTGTGATGGCGCCCGATCTGCCAATCACAGGACCGAGTAGCCGCCATAACCATGCAACCGGTAAGCGCCATCGACAACTCAGGGCAACTCTATCGCTTGTATACCTATCTTCCATCTGCTGTGTACTGACCAACTATGCAGCCCATACCAGGCTTCACTGGCATCTACCACCTCGATGATAGCTTTTGTCATAAATCGATGTTGTATCCCTACCCAATGGAGACTGAGTCACGCTTATCTGTAACCCGAGAGAGGATAAGTACCAACAGTCATTATACTCGGCCTCTGACTGTAGGGTCGATCATACCTGGGCTTTGGCTGTGATGAGGCACTATTACTTTCCGCCACACTGTTCAATGCTTCCTGGCCCGGCATCCCCGCCGCGGCGTGTCAACTGTGATGGCCCGATTGGCGGAAGTTTTCTGCATTCAATCCAGCTGTGGTGATGGTGATATTACCTTGACCCAGCTTCAATCTTCAGTACAACATGCAGAAGACACCGGTGGGACCATGCCGTCTTGCCCTTGTGATATCGGGATCAAGTCGGAAGCACCCGGGCGTAGTTCGCACAGCAAACGTATACCGGCCCTCCTTCTTCATAACCCTTGGTCGTAATTACTGGCCAGCAGAAGTGGGCAGGACTTCATGGGATGATGGTAGAGCTTCACAAATTGGGGAAACATGCTCATATGCGTGTGCTAGATGCGAGGTATCCTAGCCCACTTGTCGTTGGTGATAGGACTCCGGACCGATTGAAGCGCACCAACAGTACCGTTTGGAAAGCTATTATAGACCGCATCGACTGGGGTCGATGACAGGCATGCATCTCGAGGTACTAAACACACCCCTTCCTTCGCAATCCAGTTTGCGGGTGTCTTATATCGTTATGGCACTGTGGGATACGATATAATCTCCTCAGGGCCTACGTTCAACACGTGTAGTCCGCCATCTGTATTTGTCTTTGCCCTTGTCAACACAAGCAAGACAGTTTATCAGTTCCGTGACGAAAGGGCTGCCGAACCAACAACTCGACCTTGATAAGCTATAGACAGGGTCGGGCCGCATTCATGATTTTCAACATCGTCGAACGGTCAACGCCGTCAATCTTTGATCCAAAACAAACCATGCGGATACGTTGTTCGGGGTACTTATCAAGGTAATCGTCTATCTATATGGTATGAGACCTCTACAGTTACGATAAGATCCCCTTCAGCCGAATCACATGCTTACACGATTGAGCAATGCTGCCGGTTTTAGGCGTTCTGGCAATGCACGGAAAATCGACACGTAAGGTGCATGCTTCCATCCGTCCACTCACATCACATTTCTCCCCGCAATCTTGCCCCAGACCTGGGAAGAGAGGAAAAGATGAATACGCTGTTCAGTGGAGAGATTTTGTATCTATCGTGAGACGGTGAAGCGACCGCAACTACCTTGGGGGTTCGCATCCAGCAATTCTATTCTTCGATAGCATACTGACTCTGGAATAGCATTTTCTCGATTTTCCTACGTCTTTCTCGGTCACATGCTCCCTGGCGTGATGCTAACGCGGACTAGGGGGAGCGCAAGACAGGGCAAAGCACACCATTAAATTACGTGTTAGGATTCCCCAAAGGGTCAAGGCGCCCTACTTAAGGAAACTTGAACTGGTGACGCAGTTGGCGGATCAGTACTAGTGTATTCCCTTCTAGTCTGAGTGCTTCTCGACTTCCCAAGGCCTTTCTTTGCCTTGTACCTTTTGGCGGCTGGCCCCGGTTGAGGTGGCCCGTTTGGGGTAGGTTCCATTACCCCAGACTTGCGTGGTTGAGCTCCAGCTTTCCCCGCGCCCCACCCCCGAAATCCCGGATGTCAAGCGACGGTCGCAACATCTTCCGAGATATCTTCGACGACTTATCCGGCGACCAATCAAGGCCAGCCGCGGCCCGGTCAATCGAGGACGGCGTGTCGGAGAGACCGCCCAGACCTGCGCCAGAGCCGCTCATTGCCCCACATTTTATAGGCTACCCCTGGTGAGTATCAAAGTCTATTCTCGTTTCCGCCGCCACGATGGCATTGTCCCATCCGCTATCATTCCACCGGTCTATGGGCAGGTGCGCAAGCCCGTCGAGCTACCGCTGCCTTACAGGGCATTTGACGTCGACATCACTAGCCCTCTTCGCATGCGTTTCCCTACCTACCCCCAGACTCGAGGCTGGCCAGTTCGCACCGCTTGCCAATGTCTTTTCACTCGTTGTCAGCTTGCGGATAACAAAGGCTTTGAACCCCTCATCACGCCGCCATCCCGCTCTGTCCCAAGCCAATGACAAACCCACGTGTGCTGGCTCTCTGGCCTGGCGCCATCAAGCTCCGGCGAGGGGGGGGACCTCGCTTTGATCAATCCAATCATGCGACATGGAGGTTTTTAGCTCGGGGTAGGGGTGTGTGCTCTTGCGTCCTCTTGCAGCATCGTTGCAGATAAGGCTTGGCAGGCAGTCGTCCTAGGGGTTGGAGAAAGTTGGCGTCGGGGGGCCCAGGGAACACTTGGCGCTCTCTCGATCACCTTGTTCATGTGAGTTCCAGTGCGGAGCACCGAAAAAAAAAAAAAAAAAAAAAAAAAAAAAAAAAAAAAAAACAGCAATGATTTGCGGCTTGCACCTGCCGTGCGGTTGATAAGCAGTCGGCCAAGTGTTGCTCGAGTCAGGATACCTACCTACCTCTAAGGGCATGCCCCGTCTGCATGGAGCCCCCTTATTTGCTCCAGAGCTCCTCCTTCCATCTCTATATCAACCCCAACTCCCTCTGCTTTTTTCTTTCCTCATCACTGTTTCCCAAACACATCGCTTCAACCCAATTCTCGTTTCCTCACTCAACTCTCGCGAACTAGCAACTACCAGCGGCCTCCTCCATCCACAAGTTAAAGCACCGCCACATTTCTCGGTCTTCAACCACTCTTCTATCACCAGCCATGTCTTCTCAGGATACCCGCTCCATGAGCCAGCGTCTTCGCCCTCGTCGTCCCTCGACCTTCCTTACCTTGGCTCCTATCATCTCCGTTGCCGAGCAAAAGCCCAAGGTCGCTTCTGCCGATGAGGCTGCTCTCGAGTCTCCTACTGAGAGCGTCAAGCAAGTAGAGGCCGACTCTGCCGAGGCCATCAAGCGCCGCGCCTCCAGTGTCAGCAGCCAGTCCTCCACCACTGGGGGATTCCGCTTCCTCAGGAACCACTAAAGGGTCGCACCACCTTTTTTTTGCGGTTGGCACTTTACCCATCCTGTCGTTCAGTCATACTTTCAAGCGATAAAAAGATGGGGCAAGCACGAGCCTTGCTGCTGCATGACACATTTCCTTATCATATACCTTCCAGCCATGATGGCATGGATCCCATCGACATGGGGAGCACAACGATGTGCCATTTCGGCGGAAAGAAACACACCTCTTTTGGGCGAAAATGGCAAACTGGATGATTCCTATACCACAAAGGCTTTCAAACGGCGCTTCTCGGTCTTCTTTTTCTGTAATCCTCTGACGGGATTTTTGCGAATGGTACGCTCCACCAGGGATGGAGTTTTCAAAGGCGCTGCGGAAGGTTTTTTTTTTCCTCTTTTTTTCCTCTTTTTTTTTTCTCCTCACTCTCGATAAGGAGTTGTGGAGGTGTCCTTCAGGTTGACAAGGGACTGGAGGGATGGAATGTGTTTTTTTTCCTTGGCAGTTTTGGGAAGGGGCAGGAGCCAAGCACACACATGGGAGGTTTTCTGGGATGTGCTGGCGGCAACCAGCGAAGAAGGGGGGATCGACAAGGGGAAGATAGTATACCAATTTTCAAATGAGAACCTGATAGTTTTCTCTGCTTTTCTCGGTATTGTTATCGTTGTCTGTGAGCTGGCACAATGTCCAAACAAAAGAGTTTCAAACAAGTCAGGCAATTGAAACCTGAATTGTTTGTATTCAGTCCCTCTCCCGGATCGACCTGCTCCCTTCCTTCCTCCCCACCAAGTTGTTCGTCTCGTATTTTTTTTTTCCCCTCGCTTTTTCAGCGCCTGTCATGCACTTGACATATCCACCCATGACGTTCGTGGTTTGATCAACTTAACCATTCAAAGTTCTCGTTGAAGCATACCATGATAGACAGCATTGCACAGGAATTGCCGGATGGTGGGTATCACGTCCAATCTTACCAACGAATAGGATTTGAGCCGTAGGTAGTTTGACAGAAACAATGGAGAAAATTGCCTTCGTCCTTCACCGGAAAAGAAAATAAAAATAAGAATAAAAAATTACCGATAAGGGTTGGCGACAACTTGAACCGACGGTAGCCAAAAGCCAAGTCGTCTTGGCGCTGCCCTTGCCAGCATATCCTTGCCTCCGGCGCACCCGGCTTGGTCTTATATCCCGATTGCGATAAGCCATCGAAACTTTATTTTGTCTACATCCGACTTGCCGTTGTTCTCGCCTTCCATCACTCTTTTGAAAGAATTTCACGACAGGAGACAGACACACTCCAGGCAGGGATAATTCAAACAGACGACACGGGCATCAATCATCAACTGACACATTCCCCCAAATCTCAAGCCGTTGGTGCAAGATTGCCCGTCTCAGCTCGCACAGCAGGAGGTGTTAGATCTTGGGCTTGGCAAAACACTTGAACACTTGGCGAAGAGGGGTAAAAACACAGAATGGCTGGAGGTTGATGGCAAAAAGAAGCGGTCTCCGGAAAGAGAAGAAGGGAACTGAAGGCTGACAAAGCGGTAAGAAGAATTCATGGCCAGATGTACATCTGAGGGTATGGAGAAAAAAAAGCAACGGTGTGTTTTGAGTGTCCAGTAATATGGACTTTCGTTGCTCGTTCGTAGCTATTGCTGGTCGGTAGATGTTGGGACAGAGGCTCAGATCTGCATCAAGGGGTTGCGCCGTTGTGTAGATCGCCGGCATTGTAGTTTTGCACATCTGATAACAACTGGCACTGGCTTGAGAAGCAAGTTCATTCACCGCTGAAGGGGCTACGTAGTGTGTAATCTTATGGATTACGTGCGATAGAGTGATTGAAGTGTTGTTTTGTGCCCAATATAACTGAGATCACTCACTCTTTGCCGGAAACCTAGGGACCGGTAACCTCAGCTCTACCGTACCAATTCAGGGCCTTCTTTTTGAGCCTCCAGGGCAATCAGACATAATCAGACATAACGTATGTCTGAATCCGTACAGTCGATTCCCGCAAGAGAATAGTGGGTGGGAGACGTGTTGCCACACCGGTGTACCGTAATTTCGATTCTAATGGTGGACTATCTGTTCATCCTGTCCTCTTAAGGGTGCTGAAGGGTGTGGATTTTCGAAATCACCGTCTTGCATACAGTTTTCTGGCGGGCATGAATGTTGCAGTATACTTCTTACAGACTATACGTGATTTTCTTGGTGGCTAAAGACGAACGTCCGTTTATACGGTATTTGCATTGTGGCCAAAAGTGTCAATCAGCTTCTCTATGGATCTTGGATACTCTGGCCGCTTTCGGCCGGGAGTAGGTTTGTGCTGCGGTGAATCGGTAACTCCAATTGATAAGCAAAGGCACGGGAACTGCAGATCTTCGAGGCTCAAACAGCGGGAACTGTGACTTAAGTTGACACTGCAGAATTCGCGGAAATGCCCCCAAAGATACCACCGTGCCTATTTCCACATAAACGATGCCCGGTTCTGTGCCGTTCGTTGTGCTTCAGAAGCTAATAACCGCCATTGCCGACCTGCCGTCCATCTGTTGTCGGCCAAAGAAGGCAAAGGCGGTATGTAACAGCCCAAGATCTTGATTAATGTAAGATCTCTTGGCACACTTCATTGTGCCTCGCAAGCGCAGGGTCTCTTCAAAGGACAACTGATGCTTTCATGATACGAACGCTACAGTATCAAGATGAAGCGGACAGACACCATTTTGCTTGCTTTACATGAAGGGCTTCAGAAACGTCATTCCTTAGAAGAGGCAAAAATGCGTTTGAACAACCCCACACATGCTGTTCCACCCGGTCGGCAGTGATGGGAAATCAACCTAGGTTTGTAATCAACCTTAGAAAAAAAAAACCCAATCAATGATGGACCAAAGATAAAGTCCAAACAAGATCGTCAAGCGCCACAGAACTTAATGATCAATCACAGGCCACAACAGCGACACATCCCATCATCTGTTGTTGCTGCTTGCTGTCATAGTGCCCACTGCCAGCGAACTGTCTGTCCCCCACCAGAGGGCATCACGCCGCGGCTTTGTGCGGGCAACCTGACCCCCCGCTGACCGAAAAAGTGGGGTAGCGCTGCAAGCTGCCGTGCCAAGGCGCAGCGCTAATGCCAAGCTAAAGATAAGCTCAGGCACTGGCACAACCCCACTGCACCATAAAACCTCCACACAAAAGTCACCCGACCACTCCTACAAATGTACAAAGGTACAACAACACCCACTCAGTACAAAAGATGGAAAGCCGCCGTCGGGCGGACTGGCAAAAAAAAAAAAAAAAAAAAAATAGAGTAAACACTGCAGAGAAGAAGAGGAAGGACGGGATCAAGGATTGTGGGGGTGAGATCCGAGCCCCGAAGCGTTCCTTCCTAGCTTGAATCGAACGTCGGAGTCAGGCGGATCTCCGGGCAGCTCAGCTGGGCTGATTTGGTTTGGGGCCGGAGAGTGCACAGACCAGCCGGATACCGGCAACTCCCAACTTCGAAAGTTCAATCGGGCAACTGGAAGCTTCCGCTTTGGCCCCATAATTCCCGGAGTCGGACCCAAATATCCCGGAGTCTTGGAGCGGGACCTACCGAGAAGCCACCGAGCGGCTAATTTGGCACGTGCCGGGTGTCGGATGTTCGGTGCTACGTACATATGTATCCGGATGTTGGATGCCGGGTTACATTCCGAGCTATCTATATCAACGGTTCTGGGGTCTATCTATCCGGTCCTGAAGCGCTTCCGTTACGTCTCATTGACACATATATGGCCCTTCATTCTCTTCAAGTTATATCTGTCCACTAGACTTACTTGACAGGTTTTTAAAATCGACTGTCTGGGAGTAAGCTGGCATCACTGGCAATTAAGCTTGTGGAGTTTCGGCAAGTGAAATTCACTCTCTGTTTTCGAGTAGGCTAACTGTCAATGCCACACCCGGATTCGTTCCACGCATTTCGGTTCGATGAAGACAAAAGAATTACTTTGATATTTGCGTTGTCGTATCTTATTGCTCAAAGGAACCGAGGGCAAGACTTGAACATTTGCGTAATAGGGGAAAACAAAAAATGAAGTAGAGGGATAAAGGGGATTGAACTCAAAGCCGTCGGCCAACACCATAACAAGACTCAGGATCGCATATTTGGAAACAAATGAATCATCAAGCAGCGATCAAGAGCCTTCCTGAACGAACTTCCGGTTGCCGAACGTAGATATTTACTTTTGGAACCTGGTTATCCTTTCGCTCCCCGTCTTTCATGCTGTGTATCTTCATAACGTCCATGTCCGGCTCTATACAGAAATCCCTTGAGCGAGCAAAATCAGGTGACAGAAACATGAGAAAAGGACCACCACAGACAGGCGCATGTCAAGCTGGCATGGAATAGAAGCCATTGGTAAAAGTTACGGCATATGGTTGCAATATCTCGATATGTTTGATTTTTTTATTTTTTTTATTTTTTTAAGTTTTGGACCTTCGAGTTGTCACTCTTGTGTAGACCTCTGATCCAAGTAATTGTACGGACTGAACAGATGGCAAAAGCGATCACTTTCAATTTTTGTTTGTTGCGCGATGCTCGCAGTAAATTTGGAAAACTTTGCTCGGAAACAACATGTATACATGGTATGTCCGCCCACAAGCATTGTATAAATCGCATCCAACCCAAGTCCAACCAACGTCTTTCGTAAGTCTAACTCCCAAATTTCCAGCTTTCTCAGGGTATGTAGCAGTAGGACTTCTCGTTATTTCCACTCAACTTGGGACAGTTAGAACAGCGCGTCACTCTCTTCACTTGGTCTATAGCTCGTCGAAACCCCTTTCAATTTCCCATCTCACATTTCTTCATATTTGGATTAGTTCAGTTGGGACGGAGTAACCGTTACGTGGTCTTAGTCATTGCCTAGTAACGTTATCGCTCTGTTGGCGAAGACTGACAAAAAGAGACGAAACTAAGACCAGACTTGACCATCAAATCTGATGGAACATCGAGTGTCCACATACCGAAAATCATGTCCGTGGCTGGTCATGTCATTCTGGTTGAGTTCATGATGTATGTGACAGCCATGTATACCTAAGGGAAATCTACCAGTCTGGGATCACCATGACAGGTAGAAGGTGGGTGAAAATGATATCAAAGTCTTGCTTAACACAATGGGTTGCCTGCCTAGCCTAGTAAATGGAGGACCGACGCGTAAGTTGCTGTGGCCACCTCAGAGACTCTGCATGAGAACCGCCCCCGAGCACTTGTCTATATAAGCACGAGATTAGACCGAGTAGTCATATAGCCAATGCACGTTCCGTGGAAACAGAGCGTATATGCTGTCATTGTATAATAGGCTTGGTGATTAGTGTGACTGGAATGCATTTATAGAGTATCAGTCATGACATGGACTTTCATTTGAGCTAGGCACCGGAATGATGCGTCTTTGGAAGATGTGAGTCATGATTTCCTTGGGATGACTGACAAAGTCTGATGCCGGACAGCTTGCTTGCTTCATCGAAGACCACGTGGGGAGTCAGAGGAGCACGTAGAAACTCATGATATAGACGATAGGGAGCGTTGAATTGCAAGCTGTTTCTATTGATTCTCTCTATCCATTCGCTCCTCACGTACCCATAACCCAACGGCCTACCCCGGAGACATTAGACCGATGATACCCCGTGCAAGATCACTTGTCTCCTCCTTTATTGTCTGCAGATATCGAATGCTATGCCTGAAAATTGGTTCAAGTCGTGACAGCAGGATGTTTGGCCAGTAACTGGCTGAGTGGTCCATGAAGGATATGCAAGTCTAGCGAGCCCACCTCCAACCTCAGCTTCCAAATCAGAGAGGTCCGGCAAGCTCATCTCTTCCAGCAGTGATCCACAGAGTTGTTGTGTTATGTCTCGGCCAAATCAATCCATCCGTGTGGCAGTAGACTGTGATCGTCCTTCAATCGCTCACATCAGGATATGGAATTCCTGTCCTCCAGACACTCGGAGCTTTTTGGGTGATGGCCATGGGCGCATTGATCGGAGCAAAGTATTCGAGCCAGTAGTATCCTCCAAGTATTATCCTACTATCGATCGTGATCGCTGTCCGCACATGTCGCCCATTAAAGAAATCTCGCTATGCAGTCGTGAGCATCATGGTAATGCAAGGTATGGTGCAATTCCAAATGTGTGTGTTGTGTGTGTGTTCCCGTCTAATCCTCCTCAAGCCAAGTTGTCTTCAACACTGAGGGGGCTGGTAGTTTAGGGGACGCCTGCGGTACCGTCAGGTCAGCAATATGAATCATGGTAGTGTCGAATGGGATGCGCTTACTTGAACAACAGAATATGAGGCTCTGGCTCATGAACCTCGTAGTGTTCCCAACCGAGACTCTGTTGCCGCAACCTTTGTGTTAGTCTTCCCGTTCCCTATGCGTTCCCATCGCGACTAATCAGCTTCGCGCGCACCTGTGTAATGCCCATGGCTCTCCATTCCTCCTCCCACAAGAGCTTTAGAGTGCCCTTGGATTTATCGTGGTAGTCGGAGGGGATGGCCTTGAGCATGGCCTTGGGTAGCTGGACGTGACGGTACTCGTACTCGCTGTCGGAATAGCTATAGGAACAAGTGGCAGGGTCAGCAACCGTACAGTAGAGCGCTTCCCAAAGTGCGCATCGGCGTACCGAGTAGAATAGTGAATAGAGTCGATGAACTCCTCGAGGCGCGCGCGCTCGTTATCAGACAGCGGCCGCGGGCTGGGGTTGCGGCGACTGGTGTCGATGCCCATCTCCTCCGGTGTCATTTTGCCTGCTTGTGTTGTGGGTGTATGGCGGTGTGCGATTGTTGTTGTTTGGTAGCGGTTGCCAAGGCGATGGTTGCTGGCGGTGCTGTGCGATTCCACAACGCGTGTCTCGGTGGTTTGGGTTTCGCTGTGGTGACCGCGCGCGTGGGGTGGATAGAGTGCTATTTAAGAACCCGGAAGCAGAGAGAGGGTCGCTGTCGGGCAGGGCAGTGGAGTCGGCGTCTTTGGCGGCAGTGTATTGTGACTATTGTCTTCACTTTGGGGGCGGGATGAGATGAGACGATCGAGCCGAGAGTCAATTGTAGATGGCGGGGTCGTTGTTGTGTATCTTCTGAGAGCTATCTTGAATAGGCCGAACGATAGCTTCTATTGTCCAGAGACTTTGGTGTTATTGTAGAGTGTATGTCGGTATTGCGATGAGATGGTGATGTCGTTGACGATGACGGGTCAGCCAGCAGTGACGAGTAGGAATCACCCAAGTCTACTGCCACTCAGTTGACAGGGGTTTGATGGCAGAGGGGAGCATCCGGCCGGCAAATCCACCCCAAATGCTGCCGGCCGCGTCAGTTGACCCGGTCTTGGTACGCTTGAAGGGCAGAACTTTTGACAGACGGCTGCCAGCCGCCAGGGAGGTCGACAAGGGATTTCTCAAAGTCGTCCCAAAGCACGGGCACCAGGCGCCGTCCAGGGAAGCAAACCACGCTGCACTAACAAAGCTCAGGACAATCCGCTCAAAGCAACCCGCGGCCAACCGTCTTTTTCATCTGTTGGAGCACCCAACTCGCCATCCGCCCCGATACCTCTCAGCTTTGAGGGTATTCCCACTGCCCATCACCACTGGACTGTCTACACACTGCCGGCATCCCGACCCATCTCACTGCTCGACACGCCGTGCAGCATCCACCCAACAAAGTGTGTAGGTATTCTGTTCCTGCGCAGAGTCGATACACCATCACAAGCCGCCACTGCTATTGGCTCGTGGACGGTTGCCCACCTCACTTACACTACAAGTGATTCTAGCCCGCCCCCTGCCCTCTCCATCACGTTCGTTGAGTTCTCAAGCGGCCACAATCTGTCTTCCCGTCCATTCCTTTCGCGGCGACGCCCGCCTGCCCGCCCGCCCGCTGCAGCTCACAGGCCAGGCCCATCGCTGCTGGAGCACTGGAGCGCGGTTCCCACTAATCCACTACCCTTCAACCCAAGTGGTATTTTTTGTGCCCGCAGCACGAAACACACAATCGCCAAACCGCAACGCGTCTCCCGAACGAGTCCCGTCCTGCTCTGCGCCAGCGACGCCCATCCGGTCCCTGACCCCCAGACGAGACCCTTCTCCCCAACTGCCATTGCCCCGCCGGCACCGCCCTCCTGCCGCATCTACCAGACCCACGACCGGGTTGCACTCTTCGCCGACATGGACAATAAGCGGAAAGCCAGCATCTCCAACGGCGCCCACATCCAGGATGGCGACGACCGCGCTGCGAAGCGCACCAAGAAGGAACCAGGTGTAAGTCCATCACCTCCAATGAACCATTGCTCCCACTGCTCCCTACCTACCTATACATGCATCCCCGGTTCCTGTTGTAGCTGGTCCCTCTCGACGAGGATGCGGCCATGCAGCGACCATAACCTCTAAACTTCCCTTCCTCGTCTGGGAAGGAAGTTGAGGAAGTGCACATGCACCCATTGACAGAACTCAGCGCCTATTATCTGATTGAACCCCAACACCTATCAATGAAGCTTGACATCTGCCTCCCACGATGCCCAACCCGCGTCTTATCCCTTGGCTTCGACAATACAGCAGTCAACAAAACACTGCCCTCAATATTCGACTACATACAGCCAGCTAACCGCGAATACAGCCCTACACGGATTACGATCTCAATCAGGAAGAGACCCATGAGTCCACTACCGCATATGGCCTGCACTTCCTCGAGATGATTCGTAGGACGAAGGACAAGAGGTATGAAGTTACAATCTTGCACGAACCCCGGTACAGGTTTCTCTTTTATTATGACTGCACTACTTGCGATCGACAGCAACAGATGGACCTTTTGCATTCTCTCCGTAAAGCTTTTCGCTAACATCTTGACTATAGTGGACGGACTGTCGCCGACTGCTTCGAAGATCTCATCCCGCGCGAAGGGAACGAAGACTACTACAGGCGCATCAAGCTGCCCATATCTCTCAAAACAATCGAGCGCAAACTGCACAACCAGGACTTTGCAAACATGTCGGAGCTGGAGGGTTACTTTAAACGTATGGTTATGAACGCGAAAGAATACTACAACAAAGGCTCCGACATATTTGAGGACGCAGAACGCGTCAGGAAAGCACTCAGCAACTACATGACCAAGACGAATCCTGCCTACAAGCGCGAAACCGGCTATAGCTGCACCGCAGCGCCGATTCCTGGGGAGGAAGACGATGAAGAGAGCAAGAACGCGAGTCAAAACGGTACCAAAAGGCACTCTTCGAACAGCTCCACAAACGGATCTGTCAAATCTGTGCGGAAACGCGAATCTCCTTCGGTACAGGATATCCAGGGCGAGGATGATGTTGAAGGCGAAGATGATGACCACGATGACGACCGCGACGAGAGCGGCGACGAAGACAATGAGAACCCACGAAGGATTGTTATCAAGAGGCGCGAAAGTGGCAGACCAGCGGCTAGAAGCACAGCCTCGCCAGTACCCACGTTTAAGCCTGGCAGAGGCGGCAGGAAAAAGGCAGACCATGAGTACGAGAATGTACCCTACAAAAGCCTCAACTTCCAGCAAGCACAGGAGAAGATTGTAGAGGAGCTCATTCGCAAGCCGGATGGATCGTACGTTGCACCTCCATCTCTCATTCGTCCCACCTTGTCGACCCTTCCATACTAACATAACAAAACAGTGACCCGTATTTCCTCGACTTTATCAACCTTCCTCCAAGGAGCTTCAAGGACTACTTTGCTGTCATCACTGAGCCCCTCTCCCTCAAGGGCCTGCAGAAGCTCGTCAAGGGTATCTACGGTCGCGCTAGTCCGACAGGTGTGAGCGAATTCAAGAGTTGGGCTGCATTCGAGGAGAAGGCCAGTCTTCTCTGGAACAATGCTCACTACTATAACGAAGAGGGGAGCGTTATTTACGACCTTGCGACGGAATTAAAGAACTGCTTTGAGAGAGAGTTGGACCAAGCCAAGGCAGTCGTTCAAGAACCGCCACAGCCCCCCAAGATTAAACTGAAGGTCGCCCCCGGCTCGGAAACTCCAAGTGTGAGCGGACCGAAGAAGATCACCATTCATGTGGGCGGCTCTCGGGGTAGCGCTGCCGCCTCGCCAGCGCCCCCAACTGGCCAATCCATTGATTCCAACTATAGCCATGGAGCTGTCAATGGCAATAGAGTTGTCCCGTCTGCAGTTCCCATTATACCTCAAGATAAAGTCAGGAGTCTGTCCACCTCTGTGGTACCAAGCCCAGCCGTCACCCAGGCTAAGCTCGAGGGGGGTATTCAACAATCGCCTGTGCCTCTACCACCCCAAGCGGGCGTGAATGGGGTTGCCGTGGGACCCGGAACCATGACGCCGGGAATCAACAATTCGCAACAGCCAGGTTCTGCAGTGCTTCAAAACGGTCATGTGCCCGTTGTAGCACCGCCCCCGCCCCCGCCTATATGGGATAAGACACACCGTGCTCCTGGTCGAGGTAAGTTTTGGTCAGGTCCGTTTATGAAGGTTTAGTCGCTAATTGCATTCAAAAGGTCTTGCCGATGCCCTTATCCATAGCATCCTGATTCGTACCCATCCAAGCATTCCCCTCGAGAGGCGGTTTAGACTTGAAGTTCCGGCTCATCCAAGACTGGCCCAGCAGAACCTGACTGTTCATCTGCCCACTAATCATAGCAGACTGCAGCTTATTCCACGACTGTCTCCTATCCTGGAGCAGCAACAGCGACAATATCGCCTTTTCATCACCATTAATGGTTCGATGGTGGGAAGGGCGACTCCTTTACCGATTCCTGACGACCCGCTGCCCGTGAATGCGATAGTATTTGACCTTCCGTTGCAGCCGGGTACGACAGTAATCAGTGTCACAATGATTGCAGCCCTTCCAAAGGGCCAGAAGCTCCCCAGTGGCGCCGAGTGCGAGCTGGAGAGGATTTCTGTCAATGCCTTTTTACCCAGGGTGTAACCGCTCGTTTGAACGTGCACCCGTCTCAAATGTTGTTTTCTGGTATTATTTTGATACCTTTTTAATTCCTTTTCAAGATCTGGTTGGTTCAGGCAATGCTGTGGAGGTTATGGTTCAAGGATTGGGCGTGGTCTTGGTCTTGTCCGGCGCAAGACAGTCGAGACATTTCGAAAGTGTGGGTTGGCTAGCGTCAGGTTACTTACATTATGGAGTTTAGGGACGGTGGGATGTGGAATACAATGCGTTCGGCTCGGTCATTTGGTACTTTCTCTCCATGGTGGGAGTTGTTGGTCGGCTTGCATAAATAAAGAGATGGTGCGATGACAGAGAGCGAGTATACGGATGGTAATGGATGAATCAAGTGGCCATTGCCGGAGCATCATGCTGTTATGTATGATATACGTGACAAAAGGGGGATATCCAAACAGCCAATTTTTACAAGCCAGTCGGCGACGACATTTTGCAACAAGTATGGGAAATTAGACAAGCACCGGTTTGCACCTTGAACCATTGTTTGGGGAGTCATTATTGACTACCTTCTTTGTCTGCTTACACTCCTACGCAAACAAGACAATGCAATGCTTGGGTTGTTGACCCTGGAGATGTTTACCAAGTCCGAGAACGGCAGCTAACAAATACAGAAGGCTTCGGAAATGCGATGCGAACGGTTGGAATGTTGTTTCTCAAAGATGTCTTCTCCTTTCCATGTCCGGTTGGGTCTCCTTTGTTCTGCCAGCTTCATGTCCATTTCCGTCAGCTATGCCCTAGCATTGCACCCCTCTTTGTTATTGTCTATTGTCGCAAAGGTCCATAACGTTGACTGAGTGCTTCATTGATCCCACTCAGCTACTTCCCCTTTGTGTTCCATTCTCTTATGTTGACGCCATGTTGCCAACTATCTTCCCACAAACCCTTTCTGCATTCCTTTTAGCAACATCTTCATGATTTTACAGAATCTGCGTTTTCACGAGGGACCACTTTGATTCCCCCGAGTCGAACTACACGAGAAAGCTGACGCATAGCACAATCGCACAGTCGAGAATATTCATCACCATACGAAGGGGAACAACCTCAAGCGAAGCAACAATGCATCCCCAAGGCGCCCACTTCGCGCCAGCCGGCCTTTACAGCCCCGGCGGGTTCAAGCCGCCCTCATTCGGCGTTGTCCCCAAAGCCCGCTCCGACGTCCGCCAACCAACCCGTATCTCATCCACCCACGTTGTCGTCGAACCCATATCCACCAAGGAGCGACCTTGGGTTCCCTCCGACGGGCTGTACCAGGAAATTAACAAACAAGCCATGCACGAGCGCAAGCTCGCCATCATAGGTGTCGACGACAGACTCCTTAAGCCTTTACCCCTAAAGAAACACCCGTTCCATACCCTGGATTACATTCCCTTTGCTCGATCGAGCCTCGAGGCTATGGCCGCTATTGAGGATGGGTTGAAGGGAGTGGCCAAGTTGCTGAAGCTCGATGGGATCGGGGTGGACGTAAGTCCGGTGGTCCCAAGGCAGGTTCTAAGTATCAGGGAGTCTGGGTGGAGGCCGACGCAGTTGGGGTTTGATCATATCCGCTGGCCTACTTCCGAGGAGCACAAGGACGTGGAGTTTCAAAGTGACTGGTATGAAATTCTGTGGTACGATATCATGAAGAGGGTATATAGGTGGGCGGAGAAGTATTTTGATGAACAGCAGGATGTGAAAGTGTCTGCGAAGAGCGTGAAAGATTGGACGAACCTGTGGAAGCAGGCGGGCGTTTCAGATCACTTTGTTCATTATGCGAGCTTGGTGGCGAGGCAGGATAATAATCACCCCGCGGGGTGGGATGTGTTGTTGGCAAAGGGGAAATATAGGAAATTTCTCATGGTTGGGGTGCTGGTGAGGTTGTTGCAGGAGCAGGTGTTCGATGAGTTGTTGTTTGGGGCGGACAAGGGCACGAAGAGGATGTTGGACGCACAGGATGAGTGTTATATCGAGTTAGATGGTATGTTTCTTTCTTTCTTTCAGTCCCTCTATCCTTTGTTATCGTTGTTGTGGACTAACTTAGCGGGAACTAGGCCACTTCCGCACCGAGATGCGTTGCCGAAGTGTCCGCGCTGCTCTCGGCGATTCTATCTTGACTCCAGGCTTCTGGCCTGAGGTGGACAAGCTGGCGATCCAAACCACAGCCTTGTTCTCACCTCTGCTCCGGTTCATGGACGTCGAATTCGAAAAGCGTACAGACCCGCTAGAGTTTCATCAGGACATCCACGATATCATTGCCGAGTCGGGTTACTTCAACATCGCCATGCGGCTTTCCCGCGATGTCTTCCGCTTCAACTGGCCCCTGCCCGGAGATGGATGGAGTCTGGAAGTTGAGAACGTCGACGACACTCCCTTTGAGATCTCGCGGGCCTGGGCTGATAAACACGAGCAAGATGCCCAAAAGCGGTATCACGCGGGCCTGGAAGCAGATCGACGACGGAAGAAGAGGAGAAAGGAGCTTGGTCTGGACGGACGTACTACGAGGACCACTGCTGCCATGGCACGTGGTACCCTCCGACTTGCTTTGGATCATGTCAGTACAAAGTTGAAGTCCGGTTTGGCTGCCACGGGTGTCAGGCTTGCGCGGCTCCGTCCTGGCTTCGTGGCACCCACTGTTGACGATCCTCCTCCTGCCTCTGAGCCAGACTACAGCAGGTCCAGTGACCCCAACCGCCCTCCGGAGCTCTACCTCCCCTCTCGCCTGGCAAAGACCCAAATCGCCATCTTCCCCGCCATCCAACGCTACATGAACCTGGAAACCTTCAGACGTGAGCCGGTCAAGAAGAACCCGTCCTTCTCCCGGTCCTTCTCCTTCCACACCAACGACATCATGGCCTCCATCGAGAGCCACCCCACTTACGAATATTACTTTGATCAACTCATCCCCCGCAACCCCCCTAAGAAGGAAGACTCTTCCGACGAGGGCTACACCTTCCCCACGGCTCGCCGTCGCAAGCATCCCAACCCCTTCGACCGCCAAGAAGACGCCCAAGCCATCCACACGATCGCCAAAGGCAACGCAATTTACTACTCGGGCGTAGCCGACGAGTCTCACCTCTCCGCCCTCCGGCGCAATGCCAACGATCCTTCTGTCGGTCCAGAAAAGTATTACATCGGCTACCCCGGTTACTTGCCCGAGCACGTTCCTACCTTGAGGGAATGGACCAATCTCCCTCTTACCTCTCGCCACAGCCACAGCCGGCACTCCCTCAACAACCTAACCTCATCCTCTCGTACATCTTCCCCTTTCTTCTCCTACTTCGTTCCCTCCAACAAAACCCTCATCCTCACCCGCCGTCTCCTTTTCACCACGCTCATCTACTCCCTCCTCCGCTTTTTGCTACTTCCCCTCCTCCTCCCTTCTTTCCTCCCCTTCCTCCTCGCTTTGGAATCTACAGCCCTGCACGTCTTCAACCAGGTCAAAGATGGCCTCACCACTTTGCTCACTCCCCTCGTTGATGCCATCCGTCCTCTTCTAGGTCGTCTTCTTCACACATTAACTCTCCTCCGAAACCTAGCGTTGGCTGTTCTCAAACCAGTCCTCGCTCCCGTCGGGGACTTGGTTAAGAAACTGGTGCTCCCGCCTTTGGCTTCCGCTTTAAGGGCTGTGGGATATCTTTATAGCCAGCTTGTCGAGAGGGGACCGGTGGGATGGGTTTGGACGAGGTTGAAGGGGGCGGTTGGATGGTGGGGAGATTGGGTGAAGTTGGTGGATGAGGCGGTGAAAGGCGGGTTGGCGAGGGTTGATGCTTGGTTGGGTGGTGCTACTGGTGCTACAGTTTTGCCTGAGGCGTGGCGAAGGAGCGGAGCAGGAGGAGGAGGAAGTGAAGGAGGGAGTTTAACGACAACGGTGACCACGGCGACAACGGTGACAACGACGATGACGGGGGCGGCGGCGGCTGGTGGTGGTGGTGGTGGTGGTAACTGGAACCCTTTTGCTAGGAGGATTGAGTCTGGTTTGAAGACTGAGAAGATTACTTACACCGTGACTACTAACGGGGGGGAAGAAGTGTTCACTGTCACGGAGAAACGCACTGCTGGTGGTGGTGGTGGTCTGACGTCTGGGAGGAGGACTTCCACCGCTTCCACTGTTACCACTGGCGATGGAACCTTCACCCTTGCCGGCGCGGCACCGCCTCCTCCTCTGACGCCTTGAAGCAGTTTAACCGTGGATAACAAGTTTTGGAAAATTGGATAAGTAGTCTGTTGGTTGTTTTTGTTTGGGATGATGGCTTTCCGAAGGCGTTAGGTCAACTTGGAGACTTGGACAAAGATGTAAAGTAGCTAGCTTAGTTTCGACAAACTCTTCCTACACGTACTCGTCACAAGTCAGTCGTCTTGGTCCGCAATCATGTCATCGTTTGAGTTTGGGTTGTAAGGGATCAACACCTTTAGTAAAAAGCTCGCTAACTCTCGAAGCAAACCATGAGCGGTGCCCAGGACGGCTGTTCACAACCAGAGGTAACAAGCCGGAGTTTCCTGTTCCGAGCCTTGACGTTAACGTTAGTCAACAAAGACGCATGTCCATTTCCGGCCGAATGTAGAGGACCAATGCTTTTATTCCTCACTAAGCTCCTATCAATGTCCCATATCCCGCGACGACTGTGACCCATGCCCGCCGCAAAAGCCCAACATACCATACACATGCTCTCTCAGGAACCCGATGGAAATAGTGCGGCAACCCCATCTCGTCCTGAGTGTAAACCATTCTCTAATTCCGTGACAGCCCACGCTCAGATCTATGCACATATCTGCGAGTGGGAGGCCACTTGGTATAAAACCGACTTAAAGGCTGCCTTAACTTCCAAAGTCAAATAACGCCATGATAAGGACCTCAATAGTAGAGCTGCTGAATGAAATGTAAAAAGGATTTTCTGGAAACCGACGCCACGGCTAGATTCCCCCCTTCCAGACTCCCGTATTCCTCCACCAAGTAATGAAGCGGGTAGCTTTTTCGTCAACGAGATATCCCATATTTCTATGCGTTGTCGTCTGCGTGTATGCCGCCGCCGAGACCGCATGTCGTCCTTTTCGAACGTCGTAGATATTATAAGCGGCCCGTTGTATGCATAAGAACGAAGCTGCCTGCTAAAGCCGGGCTTGACTTTAGCTTGTCAATGACATGGCCAAAATTAGAGACCGCATTTAGACGGTCATCTTGGCACGAGCGCGAGAGCTGCCGCTGTGAGCGGATTCCGTGTGGCCGGAGAACTCGAGAGCCTCGTTGGGCGGGAGCTGGAGGACCTCCTTGAAGCGGCGGCCGATAGCCATCAGGATCTCCTTGCCCTTCTCGGGGGACCTGCCCTTGCCGCCAGAAATATCTCCGTCGCCGCGGCCGGGAATGTGCTTGCCGATAGTGCGGGTCCAGACACCAACACGGAAGAAGGCCTTGCGGACGTTGACGACAACGCCCATGACCTCACCGTCCTCCTCGTCCTCGAGAGTCTCGCCGATCGCAGCAAGCATAGTATGCAGCCAGATCTCGTCAATGTTGACATTGCGCTTCTCCTTGAACTGGTAAGACCACTTGCCACCGTGCTTGTTCTGGGGATCCTCCCACTCGGGGCGCACGCCCTCCTTGAAGAGATGGTAATCGGACTTGAGAGCGAGCTCTGATACCGGGGCGATGTTGTTCTGCGCGCGTTTTGGTCAGCATGCATGTTGCGCAAAGCGTGGGGTGGGAGAGCGCTCATAAACATACATATACACCCCAGAACTCCTCGACCGTCTCAAAGGTGATAACCTCCTTCAGAAGGTCATTCCAGTTGTCGCCCTGGTCGCGATGATGTTAGCTGACTGCATCGTATGGTGGAGCAGGTGGTAGGCGAAGGGAGGGGGGGGGAGGGGGGAACCAACCTTTCCGCTTGAGGGCTTGGTGAACCAAAGGGTCCAGCGGTTGGAGAGAGGGTGCTTGACATTGAAGTGCTCCTTGTCGTGGAAGACGGTGACGGTCTTGTCGTCCTTGGCGGCGGCGGCGTCGCCGTTGGTGTTGCCGCCCTCGGGGCTGATAGGAATGGTGGTGAGATCGACTTGCTCGGACATGGTGGCGGTTGTGATGTTGCGATGGGGGTTTGGAAAGTGGATGTTGATCAAAGTGTGTCGTTCCGACCGACAAAGGGCGACGAGAACGGAGTCGAAGCTAACAAGGACTGAGCTTGGACAGACGGGCCCACAAAAAAAGCAGTTTATGCCCAAGAAAGTGATCTAAGCGTGCGCGGCGTGTGGAAGCGCGAATCGATTGGGGACTGCGGGCGAGGGGGGGCTCCAACTTGGGGGATCCACGATACGATTCGGTCAGATGTTTTGGATTATGTATGTGGTCTGTTTTTGCCTGGGGGATGACTGCTCTTCCGAGGAGAAGTGGAAGTTCAGGATGCTTGGTTGTTGAGAAAAAAAGTTGAGATGTTGAGAGCGAGGAAGAAAGAAGAAGACGTGGAACAAGGTGAAGTTTGTCACGGCAAAAAAAAAGAGGAAATTCACTGTCTAGACGCGTGGTCCAAGCACTCAGGATCTAGACGGCAGGTGCGACTTGCGACTTGGAGGTGAAATCATCTGAGACTTGTTGCTCCAGGCAAACAAGTCGGTTGCTCTTTCAAACACCGAGGCGGTAGTGCAGATAGAGAGAGGTACTAGTGTACCTTGGATATTCTACCTATACACAGAGTTATGATAGTCCCAGGAGAGTATGGTTGACAGCCGAGACTTGGATGATAATAGAGTGGATTTTGTCTCGGAGGCACAAATCGAAGAATTTTTGGCATTGGCAGTTGCCCATGAAGGCCAACTGACAAATTCAGTGTAGCCGCAATCACAAGCAGCGAGGAGTAGACCTGATGCAGACAATGCCCTGCCAACACTTGGTGTTACGGCGATGCATCCTGCAGCAATCATTCGCGTAACGATTGGTAACAGAAGTGTTTCTTTCCAAACCATCGCCGCTTCCAGACTCCCAGAGTCCTCGGCAGTCAAACTTGCACAGACTCACAATGGCCACCCGACTTCACTCCCATCCCGAGTCGTTCAGTCTCATCATTCAGTTGCCCTGTCATGTCAGCGAGTCAACAATCCAATGAAACGAATCCCGTCTTTCCTGCAACTGCCTACAGACCCCTCCCCCTCCTCCACTTCGAAAAGTTGCCCTTGCCCACCCTGCACTGCAGTCCTTGCTAGCGCCCCCAGAAGAGACCGGAGGCGCTCAAGGTGAAAAAAAGTTCCCAGGGACAAGACCCCTCAACGCCCCTCCCATACCCCCATGTCGGTCAAACCCAGCCAGTCGTAGGCTCGGATCGAAGGAGACTGGGACCAGATATCACGGGTAGTATCACGTGTAGAGCTTAGATAAGATAGTGGCCATACCCAACCATGCCCGATCCAGGCTAGACAGTGGGGAAAACCGGGGCGGTTGGCCATGCAGCAGAAAAAAGTTGCGGCGCAGTTGAAAATTTCAAAATTGAAAGTCGCCCGGCCTGCCCTGCCCCACGCAGCCCACTCTTTCAGCGACTGGACCGGCTCAGGCCTTTTAAAACCCTTCAACTCCCTCCTCGTCCCCTTCGTTGTTGCCAGCTTCAGCTCAGTCTCGACATTCCCTTTCCAGACAACACTATCTTCATCATGGCGGACGAAGTTTACGATGGTGCCATTGGCATCGATCTTGGTATGTTTTAACCTTTTTACAAGACCCGCCGTGCGCAATATCATGTTATTGTCACCGATGTTGCGACCTGTTTGCGCCCGAGTTTCTGTTTTTGTGCGTTTTCGGGCATCACCAAGGGCAACGGCGCACTCGGTCAAGACTCATGCATATGTGAACAACTTGCTAACCTCAATCCTTCCATATAGGTACTACCTACTCTTGCGTTGCCATCTACGAGGGTACCAATGTCGAGATCATTGCCAACGAGCAGGGTAGCTTCACCACTCCCTCTTTCGTCTCCTTCACTCCCGAGGAGCGTTTGATCGGTGAGGCCGCCAAGAACCAGGCCGCCATGAACCCGAAGAACACCGTCTTCGATGTCAAGTACGCGCTATCCAGTATCTCAGTCTCGGAAGAAGCAGCCTCACTAACGCACCTCCAGGCGTCTTATCGGTCGCCGCATCGATGACCCCACCGTCAAGAAGGACCAGGAGTCTTGGCCCTTCAAGGTTGTCGACGATGGTGCCGGCAACCCCAAGGTTGAGGTTGACTACCTCAACGGTGTCCACACCTTCTCCCCCCAGGAGATCTCCGCCATGGTCCTCACCAAGGTAAGCCACCGCCACATCCGAGCTTCCGGATCTGTACGCATAAGAACCGCACTCTAACATGTGTTCCCACAACACAGATGAAGGAGATTGCCGAGGTCAAGCTTGGCAAGAAGGTTGAGAAGGCTGTCATCACTGTCCCCGCCTACTTCAACGACAACCAGCGTCAGGCTACCAAGGATGCTGGTGCCATTGCCGGCCTCAACGTCCTCCGTATCATCAACGAGCCCACCGCTGCCGCCATTGCCTACGGTCTCGGTGCCAACAAGTCCAACAAGGAGCGCAACGTCCTCATCTACGATCTTGGTGGTGGTACTTTCGATGTCTCCCTCCTCAACATCCAGGGTGGTGTCTTCACTGTCAAGGCCACCGCTGGTGACACCCATCTTGGTGGTCAGGATTTCGACACCAACCTCCTTGACTACTGCAAGAAAGAATTCACGCGCCGTACTAAGAAAGGTTAGTAAATTCCCTCCCCGCTCTTGCGGCACGCCTGGTGTTCTGAACATCTTCGAATTGCTTGTTTTTTGGTGGTTTTTGGAACTCGAAACTAATAAACAACAACCAGATCTCTCCGGTGATGCCCGTGCCCTCCGTCGTCTCCGCACTGCTTGCGAGCGTGCCAAGCGTACCCTCTCTTCCGGTGCCCAGACCACCATTGAGATCGACTCCCTCTTCGATGGTGAGGACTTCAACATCAACGTCACTCGTGCCCGTTTCGAGGACTTGAACGCCAAGGCCTTTTCTGGTACCCTCGAGCCTGTTGCTCAGGTCCTCAAGGATGCCGGTATCGAGAAGTCCGCCGTTGACGAGATCGTCCTTGTCGGTGGTTCTACCCGTATCCCCAAGGTCCAGAAGCTCCTCAGCGAGTTCTTCGACGGCAAGAAGCTCGAGAAGTCCATCAACCCCGATGAGGCTGTCGCCTACGGTGCCGCCGTCCAGGCCGGTATCCTCTCCGGCAAGGCCACCTCCGCCGAGACCTCCGACCTCCTCCTCCTCGATGTCGTTCCCCTCTCCCTCGGTGTCGCCATGGAGGGCAACATTTTCGCCCCCGTCGTCCCCCGTGGCCAGACTGTGCCCACCATCAAGAAGCGCACCTTCACCACTGTTGCCGACAACCAGCAGACCGTTCAGTTCCCCGTTTACCAGGGTGAGCGTGTCAACTGCGAGGACAACACCTCTCTCGGCGAGTTCACTCTTGCTCCTATCCCTCCCATGAAGGCTGGTGAGCCCGTCCTCGAGGTCGTCTTCGAGGTCGACGTCAACGGTATCCTCAAGGTTACCGCCACTGAGAAGACCTCTGGCCGCTCTGCCAACATCACCATCTCCAACTCCGTTGGCAAGCTCTCTTCCTCTGAGATCGAGAAGATGGTTGAGGAGGCTGAGAAGTTCAAGAGCAACGACGAGGCTTTCTCCAAGCGCTTCGAGGCCAAGCAGCAGCTCGAGTCCTACATCTCCCGCGTTGAGGAGATCGTCTCCGACCCCACTCTCTCCCTCAAGCTCAAGCGCGGCCAGAAGGAGAAGATTGAGCAGTCCCTCTCCGAGGCCATGAGCCAGCTCGAGATTGAGGACTCCTCCGCCGAGGACCTCAAGAAGAAGGAGCTTGCCCTCAAGCGCCTCGTCACCAAGGCCATGTCTTCCCGCTAAATTACCTTTTAGCTTAACGAAGTGTATGATGCTCGCCTTCCATCTACCAATGGGCGCGATACTTGGGAATAGGAACAGGAACTTTAATTGAAGGCAGGGTCTTGTCTTGTATCGGCACGACGTCTTCATATACCTCGTTCATTGGGACCGGATACTCAAAAGTTGGGGGGGCCATGTGTATTTGATCTGCATTCTACGGCATCAGTCGCAGCCCCAGGCAGGGAATGGTTGTTTCCAAGAACGAATGACATACCGGATGGATTTCTTTTCCTTGCCTTTTAGCGCCATTGATCTCTTTATTTATGACCCAAAATCTCTTCGGCGCAACTGCATGTAGACTGGGGAAGGTGCAAAAACAATACAAACGATGAACAAAACTTATCTTGTCTCCCTTTGATGCAAAATGTGACTCTGTCTTGTTTGTTATTCTGAACTTTTGTTGTCGGATGTGTTGTCCATTCAACAAGGTATATTAACATCATGTCCAGCCAGGTCATTGTTAGTCCTCATGCCTTGATGATTCATTCGTAGGCATCGCTGTATTGTATAGAGACATGTTGATACAATGACCAATGCATAATAGTTTGAACTGAACGCGTTGCCTAGTAAGATACATGGGTCTTTTGACTTGGGTTATGGCCAAGGCAATGTTGCCAATGCGTGCCCAGTATTTTGTTATGGCTGTAATTCACTAACATATGCCCATGTACATTAGGCCGATGCCTTTATTAGTAGACATTACCGATAGACCAGTTCTTGAAAACGGCTGTTACCAATCTTGATGTGTGTCTTGGATTCGTGTTGTTGTGGTGTTGTCGTTGGCGGACGTTGCATGTGGTCTTGGCTTTCGGATTCCAACCTGGACGGTTGCCAAGATGGCTGGCATTCTCGACTTCACACAACCAACTCATCTCTGATGTTTGATCGTTATTATTATAATGCTAAGATGTAGTATGTGGATTGGAGGATGAAGCTGTGGTACACCCAGACGTCGCCCGGAAGAGCAAAACGGAACTGAACATCTTTTTGAAAGTCAAAGGAGCAACATGATTGGACAAATGCAAGGGGGCGCCACACCCGGACAGTGCCGCATCGCATCGTCAGGTCAGTCGAGAAAAAGGTCGTTCGGTCAGCAATTTAACATCTGCTGATTTTCCCAATCTCCATCTGGACACCTTTCCAGAACATGACATTTGGGAGATGTAATTCGGTCCAACTGATCGCTCTTTCGTCCGGAGTGAAACAAACAGAATGCTTCGCCTCCTTTGTATGGAGGCCCAGGTTCGGGATGATTATTAAGACGAAGTCCGGTACGGGAAATCAGACATAACAACCGGTAGTGGACAGATCATTCGAAAACATATCTCCGCCTATATGTCCCCTGGTCTCCCACTTGTCCATTTCTTTCTCAGTGTCTGTCTCTTTGTTGTTTCCCATACCTCATTCA